GGACCTGCGTTCCGGTTCGCCTCTGCCCGAATCGGCCGGTCTGGCTCCATTCCCGATATCGACGGGCTCGAGACTTCGGAAAGCTTCGAAAGCCGAATTTCAGTATTTTCAGACGGTCGGTCCGTATCTTTTCTTTTCTTACCGTCTCGTACGCCCGTGGCGATTCTTACGAAAGTGAAATCGCGTACCTCCTGTATGTACACACGGGTAGTCCGCGATACGTGCGTCGGGCTTAAAGCAAGGTGATCTCGGGTGACCTTGAGCCGTTCCATACGTGATTAAACTCACCTTTAATGGCGCCCTTGCCAGTGGTTACCGAGTCCCGATTTTGCGCCGACTGGGTGTTTCTTCTTTTTGATACGTCACCTTTCCGCTAGCGGCGCGCGACGCGGCGATTTCAGTACCCGCTTGATAACGACTGACAAGGATTGGTATTCATGAGCTCGGCAGGCGGAATGCCTCCGGCATTTATGCGCAGCCTTTACCGCGCTAGGAAAAGACGTCGTTAACGAAGGTCGAATCGTAGAAGTAAAATGATTCCCTGGGGAAGTGTTCGCGAATAAAAATTGCAAGTTTTGTGGCAAATTTTTTTTTTTTTGCGCGCGCGGTTCGAGGCGATCTTGCTATGACGTTAAATTGCTATAACGAGTCTTGTTCGGCTCGTTCTCTCTTGGGAATGCTCCAGATTTGACGAAGGCTCCACGGAGAGACTTCGAAAAGTATCGGACCAACTTATTTAGGAGTTTCCATCGTGTGGAAGGGTGATTCAAACTTTAGTACAAGCCTCGCGTGAAAGGTTTCCACTCTTGTCTTTTCGAGTTTGTATGGACTCGAAGATTGCTTCGATGACTTTTTTGAAATTTTGTTGAAGAATAATTGTTATTACTTGAATTTAATTATCGTGCAATTTACCAGGTATTAAGACCAATTATGTCAAGAAGGTTCGAAAGTGACTTTCTAACGGGTGAGCTAATTGGTATCTCAATTGCTCGCTGCCTTTTGAGGTTAGGTAGAAAAAGAAACGGTCTGGAATTTTGATATATATAAGTAGCCCGAATTAAAGGTACCGTTTGATCATTAAAGAAATTACATCCAGTGGAACGAAATCTGGGACTGAAATGATTATTCTTAGTTCTATTTAACATCTGAAAGAGCTTTGTGTGGTGGCGTTACGATTATGGTACCTTAGGGTAATAAGGCCCTCCATGACTTAAAAGGCTCGTAAAAGCCGAAATATAAAGTATTTTGGGATGGGCAAATGAGCAGGGTATACGAGAACAATATTTATTTCGGTTATAAAACTTAATTATATATAAATAAAAAGTGACAGAACGGCTATAATAATTGCAGTTGCACTGGAAACATAAATTCATACACCAATTACATTTCGTTCTTCTAAATCTTGACATTCAATTTTATTTTTTTTTTATATGTGTATACAGGGTGGGTCTTATGGAAGGTCTAAAATCAACGGGATTTAGTTGGTACATATCTGTTTTATAAATCAAGCGAGCGTAACATAACGTTAAAAAAACATTTTCCAATAGTGAATGCAAAATATGCCTCGTGCATGACATGTAAATTCAGATTGTTATTTAATACGTTGGTTGTAAAATCTAATTTTTTTGTCAATTCGTCATACTCGGTTAACAGGGAAATTCGATAAAAAGAAAACTCGTTATCGTGTGAACTTTTACGAACCATGTTGACATGAACCAATCTTGTAACCTGACACGATACATAAGTGGCCACTTGTAATTTTACTGCTTGCCACTTTACAGCCTTTACAAAACGTTTACGTTTTAAAATAAACATGGTAACGTTTTGAAATAACGTTAAAAAAAAAAATTAAATGATATTTACCGATTGAGGAAAATAGTTTTGTTAAGATTATGTGTACAATACCTAGATACACCGCAACGATTCTGGCGGCCAAAAGTTTCCTTAAAGGCTAACAGGCTTGTATATCGATCGAAATATGATAGCTCGACGTCATTTTGGTTCTTGTCCAGGATAAGTCAAATGTTTCTGTTCGAAAATCCAAATTTGGAAAGTGTCGGGGCAATTCTTAGGCGATCACGAGTTATGTGTCAAAGTTTCAGGCAGTTCGGTTCAATGCCCTTAAAAAAAATTGTCTTACTCTAATCGTCTGATTCAAAGGGGGTTTCGCTTTACCTTAATGCCCGACAACTGGTAACGATTGGTCTCCGTGAGCATTGAAGGCGGAATAGCTTCTCATGCTCGTGTAGCCTCGTTTGGGAAAAACTTGGTTCACGGAGGTCGAATCGTAAAAGCAAAGATTCTCTGATGTCTACCGCTATATTCGACCCTGAACTCGATACTCTCTAAGTGGTTGAACAGGGTTAAAACTTTGTAGGTATTAATTAACGATTGGCTCCTATATGTACATTTCAAGATCGATGAATCAATGTTCGAGCGGTTTACGCAATACTGTCTTTCATGAATTAGAATAATCGTACATGCGCTGTTGCTTTGTGTGTATAACGCTTACTAGTATAGAATTTATATTCCTATCTTTCTTTAAGGAATATATTTTCCACTTGAAATTTCGTATTGCGTTTGTGATTACACGTGATTATTTGAAACGATGTTGAAACTCAACGTTTCAATTTTGCTAGGTGGGCGTTAATTTTTCAATTTCCTTGTAAAATTACTAATTTCATAGAGCATGAGATGGGAAGGACAGTGAATTATTTAACTTTCCTCAAATAACGCTTTTGTAAGGTGGAAAGAACCAGATGCTTATTACACTCTTCGAGATCGTTTAATTTGGCTGGATCATTTGAAGGAATTTTTTAATGTGCCACTCACGCGAATACTTCTGTATATGTTGATGTTTCAAGTTGATTGAATTAAGAGGAAGGCTCCTGTTTGGATGTCAGGTTCCGTTTTTATTCTACATCGGTGCATCCACTGTCGAGCAATTAAATGCAGCAGTATTTACGTGAGCTATTGAATTCTACACGGTTACCATTTAAATGTCATGTGAACGGAACGAAAGGTTGGCTGCTTTTGAAATTTTTTACGATTCGCGGAAATGATTTATTATACTTAGTCGATTTTGGTCTAGTGTTTGTGTAGAGCTGTTGTTAAAAATGATTGCTTATCACAAACGATACTTAAATATTAGTTTTATAGTCAAACGATATAATAGTTAGTAATGGCTTGTATCAATATTATCATCAATCCTTGTAGCATGTTCGGAAAGAAGATATATTTTTTCTCGAACGGTAATGCACAAATTCTGACTTAGAAATGCGTTCAATATTATTTGCAATTCGAAATTGAACATATTTATTGAAAATAAATGTATAATTAATGAAGTGCATTTATTGTAATATGTAAATATACAAGGTATATGATAATTATTATAATAAACTAATTCTTCAAATAATTGTTCAATATTAGGGTAATTTTCGCTATATTCAGGCCCATTTTTTCAAGAAGGAATATAAAGAATTTGCAATTTTTTATGTGTTGAATTAAACGATATAATTTAAATGATTCTGCGAGGCACACTTATCCATTTCAGCTGTACCTTGAGGTGCATAATTATTTAAATAAGTCGGATTGGTAAGGAACATTCGACATCACGACCGAATAATCCAGATCAATGACTCGTGGTGTAATGTGAAACTGCATATTCTTTATTATCACGGTTTCTGACTTTAAGGCAATGCACTTATCGAATAAAACCGACGTTATGTAATATCGTGACTAGTCCACGTACTTAAGAATTTCATCAACTTTAAGCTCTACCACGTAGCATTTTTAAAGGATTACGTGAGTCCTTGTAACTGCTTTGATGGCTTTTAACATTTTCTGATAATAGATATTTGTGTAAGCGAACCGATTCCTACGATGTAAGAAATACGACGTGTCAACGTTAACAGACATTTCCGTGCATGTGCGCAGAATCTGTGCTGAAGGTTTCTGTGATTGCTTTTACGATATGTAATTTAATGTTTTCATGTTTTGCCAGCGGAGGCGGATCGCCGCCATGACTCAGAAACGGCGAAGCATAAGACATCGCGTTCGACTCGATAAAATTCCTAACAACCCTTGTTGGGCTCAGAAACGGGCTCGATTCATTTACAGATCGACGCGTGACATATATTTCGAAAAAAGGAAAAAGGAGTTTCAACGGGCTGGCATGCGCGAGACGCGATAGAAAGGAGGTCGCCTTGAGACGATTTTATCTTTACAAGGATTCTCTTAAAATGGCCGACGAAATGCTTTTGAAGATCTAAGGATGCTACGCATATCTCTTGGAGAACAACATTTAATGCGTCTACGGATGATGTTTAGCCCTGAAAGAGCTTTTAGGGACGAGACCAAAAAAAAATGTTATATGGACTGATAAAAACTACAGAAGATTATTATCTATATTATTATCCTATACCCTTATACCCTACGGATAAATGTAAGCAGAATTTTAAGAGGCATTATAGAGATCAGCGTCATTATGTGCATTTATAGGTTAGAACTTTTGTTGGATATTTTGTTTCATTCATTTCTAGGTTGAAAGTAGTATTGGAACGTTTAAGATGTTATGAGTGTTCCCCCCACACACTCATACCAAAAAGTCCAAATATTTAAAAATTTTCTCCGAACTGGGTATATCGAATAATTTGAAACTTTAACGAATCATTATGAAGGTCCTAACAAAGGCCTTAAAGCTCACGAAATTTAATTTGTAGAAAAGAAATGTTGTATTTACTCTCGACAAGAACCTAAAAAGACTAAAATTTCGCCCCTTTGAAAACTGTTACACGGCGCTAGGGAGCCGTGCGTCCTTTTCGACAATGGCGTGAAATATCTCCCCGCTCATCTTTGATACCTTTTACGGTGCGTTTCTTCTACACCTGCGAAAATGGCCGTTAACTGTAATATTCGCGTTCCCAGTCGTTTCGTTTCATGGGAACAGCCTTCATCTCGTCGATTGAGTTTCTGCTAGCGTTATGTGTGAATTCTTTCAGGTGAGTAAAGAGGAGCTTGCGAAGCTGGTGCAGGGCTTCGACGATCAGTCCATCTTGACGTCGTCGGGGGTGACACTCGGCGGCAACAGATATATCTACCTGTCGGGCACGGACCGTGTCATCAGGGCGAAACTGGGAAAAGTCGGCGTCCATTGCATGAAGACGACGCAGGCAGTGGTCGTCTCCCTCTACGAGGATCCCATTCAACCACAACAGGCTGCCTCCGTAGTCGAAAAACTTGGCGACTATCTCGTGTCCTGTGGCTATTAGGTGAGAGGAGCTGCCTAAATAATACTCGCGATACTTCGCTTCTTTCTCTCGATCGAGATTCGATATCCGGAGGAGGAGCCTACCATGGACTTGAGAATTCGCTAAATGTCCGATCGTAGCTTAATGTCCGGTTCCACCAACCTCGGTTAAATATCATTGATTACCTAATCGTAGGTTAAAGTTAACGTCCAAGTCAATCATGGGTTAAAGACGTAAATGTTCCCCTACCGTTATTTAGAGCGTGATTAAGATGATATGAAAGTCGCCGAGAAATTTAAACGACGTCGATATAATAAAATTCATCTATATCTCTTTCGGTGGTAATGCCATTTTGAACACTCAAGTGGTGTAACGTAAGCTGACGCATCCCATTACTGACATTTACATTTTTGTTCAAGTCTTTTACAGTCTACGTTGAGAATTATACGAAATACCGTAAATTCATGATTGTTTATACTTTGACGGGCCTACGTGGCCATCTGTGACGTTTAGTTGCAACTAAATTTTGGCTCTAAAAACACGTGTTAGTCACGGGACAAACCAGCATTCTCTTACAATCGCTGGTGAAAGTATTTTCCATATTTTCCCATTTGAGTCTGTAATATTCCATTTCTACGGTGCTCAAAATTGTTCCAATTAGGTTCTGAAACTTTTCATTTTCGATTATAAACCTCTTAGAAGCGTAAAACATCGAAAACGTGCATGGACCACGCCATGTTGGTCCTAGTCCATGATAAGTAAATGGATTTTTTATGAAAAATGAAATCTCATGAGTTTCAGGACCTACTTTGGGGCCTTCATGTTCGCGTGGTAAAATTTGAAACGAATCGATACACCTAATTCGGAGAATACTTTCCCCAACGATTTGACCTTACAGATATCTATAGACTGACTCTTTCATATCATCTTAACTGATCGTATATACCATTCGAAGTACGTCGAATTGTCGGTGAACGCGTTCGCTTGATTGGCTGATACTTCAATCTACTAGAAAGCAAGATAGATGCGCCCTTGTCGAGACACGAAGCTCCCCTAGTTTCGTGCAAGAACTTGTTTAACAGATCCAAGCCTCAAGAAGTCAAGTTTTTTGGTTAAGAATTAATATAAAATATTTTCAATCGTCCTTCGAACATTAAGTAATTGTAAATAAAATAAAAAACGTTTTCATCAGTTTCGTCGTAAGATGTTAATACATCCTCGATCTAATCCACGTTTTCCACGCGTTAGGGCAGTTTTTAGGTTGAAGTTCGATTAACCTAAGCTAAACGATCGAATTTGGCTGGTTAATGAAAGTTAATCTACTGTTAAAATGTGGAACGTGCAACTCGTTGTAACCGAGGATTAGCTTTTTAACCGAGGTTAATGGAACCGGGCATAAGTGTGCTCCAACCACGTCCTTCAAGTTACTTCGATGCACGGAGATAAATACCTTGTAAACATTTAACGCTCAGCAATAGTGGTTAAAAATGGAGCAGAAAACGAAAGGCAGTAATGAGCACGAGGCCGCAAATAAGTGTCACTGGATCTGGATAGGTCCTTGTTCGAAAATGTCCGACTGTAAAACTCGGCTTTCGGTTCTAGAAAATTTCGAGTCAATGCGTTCCATCCTTAACGCGTTTTTAATGATTTTAGAAGTTGATACATGTGCGGTACTTCAGGGATTGCAGAAGGCGATTGCCATGTGATTCATTTGTACTGTGCTTTGAGGAGAACGAAATTTTATTTACAGCCGTAGAGATGAATTCGAGTTTGCAATGATCGTGTTTGGTAGTTCATATATGTAAAAAAAGTTTGTAATGATAAATCGAGTTTTTGGAAAAAATGGTCGGTCTAAAAAAAAAAAAATACTTGAACACAAAATTAGCACATAATTTCCTCTTCAATTTGGTGTACTTGTTTATCTTTCTGTATTGCTTGAGAGGGGAACGTGTTGGCTTGACGTCAGGCTATCACGGCCACGCTGAAATTTCGAATTTCCGAAAAAATGGTGGGGTACAACATTTATTAATTCAGCACAAAATTAGCACATAATTCCTCTGTATTCAGAAATCATGAATTGTGATAGTGACGTGCTAGCTGGACACACCTGTTCTGTCATGGTTTAGACAAATTTCATTGAACTTTGTAAACACGTGCATCATCGACCAATGAAGTAACAGTCGATATTTTTGTAATTGTCCTAATCGTTCGTCACTCATGATATTAGGACAGCTGCTGTGATATCCTATCTTCATTATTTAGTAAATTTGGAGTCTCCTTCGAGGGTCGAGGAAGGAGTACAATAAGAAAATTCTCTTCGTTCACATAAATCATTCAAATGACATTGCATAGTCCAGCCGTTTATATCAGACGCGTAAAATTGATTTCAACACAATCAGTTTTATGAATCTGTAACATACAACTGTCCCTATCATGAGTATTGATTTAATTAAAAGAAGAGATGTTTCACAGTACATTTCTTGAACGAAAAGCTGACGCATCAACAATAAACATTAATATAATAGGTACGAAATGTTCACCGTCAGGAGGTTTTCGTTTCTAAAGATTCGCTGCTTTTTTTTGTCCCCCACAATTCCTTAATTCCAATAGGATGAAATAAATAAAAGTCATTGAAACTAAAATAAATAAGGGTTAGCGAAGTTGGTAGAATACGAGGTACCTCTATTGTGATATGACAAGTAACCGGTAATTTTAGTAAATGCGGGGGAAATGCATTAGTTTATTTTCACGGTTTTTAGAATTATTGAAAAGAAGGACATGGTAATGTTGCAAACATGTGTTGCTTAGTAATATTTTCTAATATACATGATACGAGCATTTGAAGTGTCGCTGGGTGATTTAACGATACAATACCTAGCTATTGACATCGTAAATCTCAGTATTATGTTATTCGCAAGGAAAACAATTGTTTACGTCCTAAGAAGTATGGAATAAATTAGTGTAACACGTAGCGTAAGGTATAATCATTAATACCTTACTGCTTGTATATTTTCTTTGCGTGCACAAATATCTAAGCCACGTACTACTTAATGAAAGGAGCCACTTTAAAGAGCTATTTCGTCTTTGAAAAATTGTTGACTGTAAATTTTCCATGGTTTCCGTTTATCGCCCCAACGTCAATTTCTAGTATTTTTATAATAGGTATTTTTCTCCGTGTAATTAAGCAATGTTGAGGAAATAGGCTTTTATGGATTTGTATCAATCCAAGGTGGGTTCGCAAATAGCATTGTTTAAGTCATACAGTAGACAACGTTACTTCGTCATTTTTGATAAAATGGTTATTTAGAAAATGTTACTGGATCCGATCAAAGATATCGAGAAACGTAGATGTGTAAATTACATCACTCGAAAAAGATTCCGAGCATTTGTACATATCAATGTTTCTTCGCTTAATTTTTCTATTATCTAAAAGGTGATGATTTATTTACCTATATATTTATTCACAATTATTTTATTATTTAGTAGCTCGAATCCGTAATTTCAGTTAGTCACGCTTACGTGAAAAACGGCGGTCGATATTATCGGTACTTCATCGACGTTTAATTACATATACATTATCTGGCGCTGCGTAAATATCACATTTGATTATCAATGGCTGCGAACCCATCTACATGTTTGTCAAGTCGTGGTGCAGATTTCTTACCGACGACCTTGAGGAGATACCGGTACTAGTAAAAACAATTAGGTCGGTATGACAAATGAGTAGCCTTTATTTCACTTAGCTCAGCTTTCTCTTGCTTTCTCAATACATTCGGATGAAGTTTCCTCTCATGCGGAGCGACCTTAAGGTGAAGTGAAACACCCCTCAAATCAGTCGATTCGAATAAGACACTTTTTTTCAAGGGTATTGGATAGAACCGTCTGAAACTCTGACACGTGACTCGTGAGCGCCTAGGAATTATCCCGACACTTTCAAAATTTGGATTTTTGAATAAAAATTGTTAACTTAGCCCAGACAAGAACTAAAATATCGTCGAGCTCTTATATTACGATCGATATCCAATTATTGAAGGCTCTAATATGAGAAACGAAAGCGTCAGGACAATTGTACGACAATTAAGAACACTCTGGTAATCCAGAAACTCGCTTTTGAACGGGATAAAGACAAGAAAAGTGTCTTATGCGCTGCTATGCTGAAACCATGGTAATACGAGGTCTTGGCGTGAAAATTTAATTGACACGGAAATCACAGGTGGCGCAGGTGGTCCTTCTGTAGTCAATTAGGGCCTCGGAAATCATGAATCCGGGGGATTTCTTGAGTTTTACTTCGATTTCTTTATAATTATTGTACTAAAACGACAGATGGAGGATGCCATTTAGTTCAATACTCAATTATGATTCGACACAATTGTCAATATAAAAATGAACGTCGACAGCGTAGGTATTTAGAAAAACATTTTTTAGCGACATCGATCAAGTTCCTCGACGTGTTTCACTTCACCTTAAGTCTTGTTTGCGCGAACGAAAGAGCCTTGCATTTTGTTCGTCGCTGGTGAAACGTTCTCAAGGACGCGATATCGATATTTATAATAACGAAATATCTTATCCGGGCTCGGTCCCGTTCAATAACGAGAGATATCGTCCACGATGCGATTTTCAGAGTGTAGATTCTTATTCTCTAAAGCGTGCCTGAAAACCGAATTAATACAGTAACTTCTTAAGGTGAAACGAAAGGGTCATTCTAAATACTTAAAACGTGAAAATATTTATAAAAGTTTTCTTCAGTCTGGTTGCATCAAATAATTTGAAACTTTAGCACGTGATTATGGGGGCCCCAAGGAAGAACGCGATGCTCGTGAAATTTCATTTTTCAATCAAAAAAAATGATTTTGATTCTAGTCTAGGCTAAATAAGAAAAAAATGTTTGTTGAAAAATATAATTTCACGAGCATCACGTTCCTCCTTAGGGTCTTTTATGTATATAGAATGACCCTTTCATATCACCTTAATTTGTTTAAATTTCGTTTTTGGGGCGCGTGAGAAAAAAACTGGATATTTTTATATACTTAATAGTTTTCCCGTCAATTTTATGATTTGGTAGTAAAGTACGAACCAATCAATTTCCCAGGCTTCGAGTCTGCGAGTTGCGCGGGTCGGGGGTCAATACACGCAGCAATTATTGTCACTGTTTTAGGTACAATTAAGAAAAAATAGGAGCGTGATCTCTTTCTTATAAACGCGGGTAGATGAGTAAAATGTCCAATTCGTGCAAAATATTCGTTTAAGTTGTTTCGTTGCTTACCCCGTTTCCTTTCGTATGGAGAAAATAAAAGAAAAAGAAAAAAAATGGATATCCGGAAGTTGAAGCGGATTTATTTTAATGACACGAAATTCGTTTTCTTTTTAGAGTAAATGAGATGATCGCATTCATCACGCTGCCAACACCGCATGTAGCTTGTCGCATGCATCATGGAAATCGCGTTTGGCATCATACCGAGGTTTACGGATGGCGCATGCGCACAGCGTGCGTGTCCAGCTCCGTGCCGATGCGTTTCGTACGCTTGTAATGAGATTTTTAATAAGATTATTATTTATACCGACGTAAAGTGGTGCTCCTGACGGTGAACCATCATCGGAGAGGAGACTTTCGAGGAAACCGTTGAACTTTCGTTTATGTAGTTGGAACGAGAACGAAAGGTAAGCGCGCTTCCTGGAAAGCCTCATCTTCGAACCACTACTTATAGTTATGCGTAAGACAATTTGTCATCCTTTTTCAATAATATTAAATCGGCGAAGAGAAAATGTGTTTTAAATAAAAACGTTTAAACCGTGACAGGTGGTGGAAAGTAATTTCATTCGAACGCGGTAGGAAATGGGCTGGGAAGATTAATAGGATTTACGTGTCACGTGGTCCACGAAAATGCGCCTTTACTTGAAATATTTCTTGACGAACGTAATGCGAGCATGTGCTCAAACTTTTGTACGTTAACGGTATGGGGACACCCACCAACGTATATGTGACGTGGATACATATGTGGGCGTATATAGCAGTGCACGTAAAGTCCTAGTAATTTCGTCGACCCACATTTTTACCGCGGATGACGTTAAGCGTCGGAGCCGTGCCTCGAGGTATCTCGTCTCTTTAATTACAGATGAGCATTCCAGGCTCTGTATCCTCCTCCGTGATGTCGGGTATCAGGTGTTCACTTTTCCCCACTTTCCCTTTCCCTGAAAATTCACGGTTGAGTAGCTTCCCTTTGCCGTTTTCTTTTTCCGCTCTCGTCTGGAAGGTCCGGCCGTGACCGAGACCGAAGGATGATCCGTTATGGCTTATCACGCGATCGCGCAAACCGCCGGTTCGCCTAACGACCGATGAGTACTATCTTCGTAATCACGATTCTCGCCCGAACTGCGATTCAGTCAGGGATCCGTGCACGACTTCCTGGCGCGACGGGAAAATTGATCGAGTCCGCAGTTTTCCGACAATTATTTCCTCCTTCTAATTTTCTCATACCCGGTTTGATAAAGGCTATTGGATGGGAATTTCGGTACTTACACTTTTCCACGGAGGTTGTAAACGAATGAACGGCGATTGCAAATTCCGGGCCGAGATCCGTTGTCGCGCGTGACGTAACCTTTATGACATCTCGAAGTTATTAGTTATCGTACTGGTTATTAAATCGCGTACGGTCCGAGGAATACAGACGTACGTTCACGGTCAAAAAGAAAAGGGGGAATTGTTTTTCTACGGTAAAACGTGAATGTAGCAGAAGGAAAAAAAAGGCATTTTTATGGTAGATTTTTCTTGTTCGTCGAAGCGACCGGGAATAATATTCCCAATGGCCGTTGCTTTCCCTTTCTAGTAACGTCGAATGGAACAAATGAAATGATCCACCCGCAACTATTACGGAATCGCAGACGCGCCGGGGTCCGATGGAAACCGCCGCAACGAAATCGCGGATAATCTCCTTTCTTGCTTGCCCACGAGCCAGCGTCGCTCATCCCGACCACCGAGACTCGTAGGCCGATATCAAGCTACATGGCACCTGTTCGTTTTCTCTGTTTCAGTAATCTCTGGGACCCAACACAAATATCTAATATTAATAATAATGATGATACGGTCGATTATTTTAATGACAGCGAATGGGATGCACCATGCTGCATGAACTGCGCCGGAACTGCCGCAAGCCTGCCGCGCGAACCGATGAGAACCATCGTCCGCCAGTCATCGTCCTCTCCTCTTCGACTCGACGAACGTGAAAAGAAACGCGCATGCGCACACGCTCTTCCTCGCGCCACGTACGATCGAGTACGCGCGATTCGCGGCCACCCGCGACCTATATATACGCGCACGCCGCACGGACGGCTCACGGGCATGCGCGGCGGCGGGCGCGCCTGCGCGTCTGCGCCCTCGCGCGACGCCCCGGGAAGGAAGAGGACCGCTCTCGCCGTTTAGGACTTTGACCACTTCGGATTTCCGCGCGCGTTGTCCCGTCGTCCGTGGGCAAAACGCGGGGAAGAAGCGAGAGCGGTCGCGGGCCGTACGCCCGCCCCGCGCACGCGCAGGCACGCACACCCGGACCCGAGGCGTCCAATATTCGAAGGCGCCCGCTTGCTCGGCGCTTCGCTGATGCAACCCCCCCGATTAAATGTAAGAATAATAATAATAATGATATTGATAATAAAGTATCGTGCTAGGTTACAGTTTTTGTAGGGGCGAGAGAGAGAGAATGGGAGAGAGTGGGTGCGAGTGCGCGAGAGAGAGGGAGAGAGCAGCGGGCGGCGGGGAGGGAGAAGGAGAAGGAGAAGAGGAGGACACGCGGGCGAGCACGCGGCGGCGGGTGGTGATACGGCCTCCGTGGATCGTCGCCATTTTGGCCGCGTCTCCCGAAATAATACGGTCCTTTTAGCTATTTACCGTTTTATTATTATTGCTATGTATAAGGAAGGCGAACGATGTGTCATCCTGCTGAGATTTTTATCGGGAGAAGGGGGCGGGGCGGAGGAGAGGCGAGGCGCTAGAGAAGGAGCGGACGCCCCCGCGCGACGAGACGCGATGCGAGGACGTTAAAAGTAGGTCTTCTTCTTGCGTTTCCTCGGGACTTTCCGGGAGCGAGGGGGAGCGATTTCCGAGGAGTCCGCCCCTCGCGGAAAGCATCTTCTACGCGGCGTGGCACGCTCTTAACGAAGGAGGGAGAGGGCGACGAAAGACTCGGAGGGAGCGGACAGAGCCCTCGGAAGGGGTCGACGTCTTCGGGATCCGCGCGACCCGGGGCGCCCCTCCGCTCGCCCGTCACTTTATCGACTATTACTATTACTATTATTCCCGCTACTACCCTACTATTGCTACTACTTGCAACCACCGCTGCTGCTACCATTACTCCTGGCTGCTCGCCGACTCGACGCGGCGTTCTCGCGCGGCCGAGCGGGCGGCCCAAACTACTATATGTAACGATTTTTATCGATAACATGGAAGGAATAAAATTGAAGTAATAAGACGCCATCGTTGTAAAGAACCCCCTGGGACGACGCGTAGTAGCTTTCTTTCGTGACGTTTCGTGCGTTCTCCCTTTATAACAACGCTTGTCCCCGTGCCCGGACGTCGCGGTCCTTTTCGTTGTCGCCTCCGTCGTAACGCGACGTAACGAAGAACGTAGAGTTGTATGCGCGCGACAGGGAAAGGAGAGCGGAGTGGGATTGCTGGATATATTAGGTGTAGCTTTGTAAAACGAGACTTCCTCTTAAGATTTTTTTGCATACATCAAAAGTAAGATTGTGTTAAGAGAGTAATAAATTTGTATAAAGTGGTGTATTTCACGTGTTTGGTTTAACCCGATGTTCCGTCGAATGGTTGGGAAGCAGGGTTAGCAAAGTTTGACCCATTCCAGGTGAAGCCAGCGGTTTTTCTCCGGTACGTAAAAATACATTACATAAAACCCATACTCAGGGTTTTAACCGGTTAAAACCATATTATAAAATCCAACAGGATATATGCAGCGGAGAATTTATTTTAATATCGTATGCACGTTGTACCTACACATGCACTCTACTTACCTCTAAACGAATTAAAATAAATTCTAAACTATCTCCGGTGTAGGTAGCATTCAAACATATTTTGTTCCTGCGCATCCTCGGGATAAAACAATGGAAAGAACCCGGTTTAAATATGGCTTAAACCAGGTTTTAACTTCTGTCTTTTCAGTCAATTATTTAGGCGGTAAAAACCAGCAAATATGGTTTCGACGGGTTAAAATTATTGGACTGGGCTCTTTATAAAAAAAAAAAAACGGATTTATGCCAACTTTCCCATTCAAAACGGCCTCGAGGAATATTTTTTTAACAATTACAAACCTGTTTTTAGAGCGTTTCTTTTCCCTGCAGCATAGTAAACATTCGATTGGTCAGCATTGGAATTGGATCTGGGGCAACGAGTCGTCGACGCTGTTCTTTCGGGATTGGGTAAGTACTCGGAAAATAAGTGCGAGACCGAGTGAATGAATAACGAGTATTCTTACAAAATAGCTATACATTGTCCTCGAATCTACATACAAAATTGCGTACTGTGCGTGTCCTGCGGATTTCCTATCTTTTTTTTTCCTGCGTAAATGCAAAGAGGTCTTTCCTCGTTTTATCGGCATGGCGAAGGGCACACGCTGCACCCACAATCACTCCTGTCCCATTCACTCGATCGACGACGAAGACAAGAAACGGTTGATTAGAACGACCACGAAGATCAGCGGGTGTCTGTCGGATTACCGGCTGCGTGTCCCTACACATTAAAATACGCATGCAAACGCTACCTCTAAGTCCGAATAAAGTTATTCGTGATTAGTGACGACGAACGGACAGACCCTCGCGCGTGCGCACAATTTGCCTTATCTTTTCGAAGCTGGTCGAGCGATCTCGGCATACCTTCGCTTCGCCGCTCGGACATACGTTCAGAGATTCACAAATCCATCGGGGCATTGTAATTTCAAGGACCGCGCCACGTGCCATTCCACTGTGACGTTCGAGTTTCGCAACTTTGGAATCATCCTCTCGCGTCAACTTGTCGATCCTTTCCGTAAAGACCCTTGGAAAGCTCGTGCCTGTAACTAATGTATTTGGTGCGCGACTCCTAACCTGGTTTTCTCGGGTGGTTTGTCACCTGGAAACGATGTATTACGCCCGGTTCCACCAATCTCGGTCAAAAAGCTAATCCTTGGTTACGAGTTCCACCGCATCTCAACAGCGAGTTAATTTCCAGTAACCGCCGTTTAAATTAACCTGCCAAATTCGATCAGCTTCGGTTAATCGAACTTCAGCCTAAAAACTGCCCTAACGCGTGGAAAACGTGGATTAGATCGAGGATGTATTAACATCTGATGACGAAACGGATGAAGACGTTTTTTTATTTTATTTACAATTTCTTAATGATCGAAGTACGCTTGAAAATATTTTATAGTAATTCTTGACCCAAGAACTTAACTTCTCGAGGCTAGCGTATGTCAAATAAGTCCTTGCACGAAGTTAGGGGTCTTCGTGTCTCGACAAGGGCGCATCTGTTTGTTTTCTAATCGATCGGAGTATCGATATCAATCAAGTTCACCGAAAATTCTACTTACTTCGAATGGGGTATACAATCAGTCAATCACGCTCTGAATACATGTGGCGGAACATTTACGTTTTAACCCATGATCAACTCGGATGTTAAGTTTAACCTACGGTTAGGTAATCAATGATTTAACCGAGGTTGGTGGAACCGGGCGTTAGGCATTGAATTTCGACGGAAAGAAATTGGAAAACTGACGACGATTCGAAACGTCAGAGCGGGAACGTCGCGGTTTGTCGAGTGTTAAGTTACGGGTGGATAATCGTATCGGTTATCGGGTCGTTACGTATAATCTTATACCACGAGTGTTACACGTTAGCGTCTACATAGGCGACGAATTACAAGCATGTAAGGTGAAATTTTTGGGAGTCGCAACGTACCTTACTCCCGGGACGTCAATGAGATCGACTCGATCGATCACTTGTTATCGACCTTGCGAAAAGTTCTTATCACACGTGCAGAAAATTATCGAAGTGCCTCGAAGAGGTTCAGTCTCGTCGGTTCGGGACGATTCGTCGATGTCCCGGTATCGGTTGATTGCATCGTGCGAATAGGAGTACTCTTTATTGTTAAGGCATGTGGTTCGGTGCTTACCCTCTAACGAAATGGGTGCAGTGCGTTTTATCGAAGTTATTTCACCAACTGGATTTAACGTCGTTTGAAACATTTGAAGATAATTCCTGTTACACCGTGCGTTCCCTTGCTTCGGTAATAGCAAGTGCTAAGAACGATAGACGACCGTTGCCTAAAAAATTGAGTTACAGAGAAATGGACTGCACATTGAATGTTACGCATTGTATTATTCACAAGATACACCCTGTGCAATGAAACGCGATACCAGTGAATCCCAACTTTTCTGGCTCACGATCAAGATATCTAATCTATTTTACGAAAAATTAAAATCCACCTGTACGCATTTATCGAAAATTTATGCTCGATAATGTAAGTCGTTCGATTCACTGATGTCTTGGCGGGTTATGAAAAATATATTGCAACTAGATTTCAAAGAGCAAACAAGAGCGCGTGCAATGTAATAGCAGGATCTATCGGCTATGTTCATATTTTGCCGTTTCAGCTTCATGAATCCGTTGAAAATGTATTTAGTTCTTCGTAATCTTCTTTGGACCCTTCGATTGGTTATACATTGTTCCGGGTGTTTCATCCCATCTAAAGCAGCGTCCCCCCCTAAAGTATGTGTGAAATCATCTTCATTTCTTTCGACGACATATCTCTTGGAATTGTTACCAGTCTGCGTTTGTTAGTGGACTTCGATCTCTCGCCATGTCATTGGCGTTAATTGAAGTTGGTGAAATAATGCTTGATAAATTGAACTGCACCATAATGAGAGACCATTTTTTCACCCGCAATTTGAGGCCAGATCGTTTGCTCGGGCGAGTCGAAATTCTTTGAAAAGCTCGCAACAATGTACGTTGTATATTTACGAGGAGGCTCACACCAGGGGAAAAAATGAGAGAAGGGAATCGAGACGGATCAAACGGTCTCTCTTCCTTCGCTAATCTTACTCTTACTCCCTACCATCGTAACATCTTCAACCCTTCTTGCTTACCGCCCTGGTGAAGGAAGGATGGCTGAAAATCCTATGGTGAATCGCGTCCTCGAAATGCCCATCGGGTCTCGTCGATACGACGATAGCTTCCATTTCCTCACCGACCGGTCTCGATTTTAGGATAACATTTTGAAAACTTAGATAAACTTAGGCGGATTACTATCTTCTGACAGATATGACTTTCCGATTCCTCTTGTTCCACGATGAATCTCTTGGGAAATACCCGGTGTTAACGAATTATCACACGAGTTGGTAACGTGAGAGAAGACTAACGAAAAGATATGTTCTTTCTCTTGAATTATGAAAGGTGTAAGTAGTAGGTGCAGAAAAGTAAGTTCCAAACCCTGAACTATAGTCGTCCTGGAACGCAGAGCAGCTAATCCACGACGAGAGAGAGGCTCGCAAAGGGCATTTGAGTCCTTTTCTCGAACACGGTCCCTCGAAATGTATCTATTCCATCGCGTCGTCAACGTGAGCGATCGTTGTTATCCTCAGGGTGTAAATCTAGGACCTCGCGATTTGCAATTAAATTCGCGAACGCGACGACCGTACTTAGCCGACTTAATTTTTTACGGCTGTTTCTTGTTGAATGTGAACCTGAGCGAAGCTGCTCTTAAAGGTCCTCGTAGAGATTTGTGTACCAAGTTGACTGGTTAAAATTGGTGAACCGAGTGACGCTCTTCGAGAATTGCAGTGTTCTCGAAGGTAGCGTCCGCCATGCCTCCCTTGCAGAGTGGGAGATTAACAAAAAATTGGGATTCTCAAATCAGAGAATCTTGCGGGAGGAGTAATGTTGGAAATATGTCATGATGTATGTACGCAACAGTATCGTTGACGTTCAGATGTTAACTGACGGGCATGTACTGAAAGAAAAAAAAGGACTCAAATCCTCGTCGGGATTTTTGAGACACGCGGACTCCCACTTTCGTCGCGATTTTTAAAACATTGATACACACGGTTGTGTGCGTTCCAGTAGGAGTATAGTTAAGAGGTCCTAAGTGTCAGTTTAATGGCTAATGATGAGAGGAAAATGCATAGTCAAGAGTATATCGAAATTGTATGCATACGATATGAAAAGGAACAATAATCATTATGACTATTAAAGTGTGCTTTAACCTTTCAGGTTTCATAAATAAGCGCGAGGAATATCTTCTCACTGAATTGATCGAGTGGAGTTGAAATACACGGGCTTATCGCTCTGATAATAATACGCAAGATAAACAGCGCTACCTACTTGGTTAGAGGAATCAGAATTTCGCAGCATATTAGGGGCGTCGTATGTATTGAATGAAGAAAGCGACTGAATTTACAAAATCGATAGGAACAAAATGAAAGTGTTACGCATAATGATCGAACCGTTTTGTCCGTTAACTGAGCCACTTTTAAATGTAACCAGATGTGTCACTTGAAAGCTGAAAGTGCTCGAAGTTCAATCTCGCAAATTCAATAACTTTCTTTTCAATGATTTAAGGACCACTGCATTTCTCGTCGACCCACGCGGATACTTTCAAGTATTTTGAAAAAATTCAATCCGTCTAATTGGAACGTCGAATTATCAGTTTGCGGAGCAGCAAAGCGTCTGGGATTTAACAGTACTTGGAATTACCGAATCGACAATTTTCTTTGAAATCTTGCCAAGATCTGCGTTCAATCGAACGATAGTTTTGTCAACGTGGCTCGTAATATTATCATACTCTTCAGGTACGCGCAGCACCAATCTGTGAGACGTACGTGTTTCGTGATGATTTTACAAGATGTGACCTTTCTCTGTCTCTTCTTTAATACTTTTTTGTTTCTTTCCTTCTCAATTTTTCTTCAGAGGTGGCATGTAAAGACCGCACTCGGCGCTGTCGCGATGGTTGTCTTCACTCTTTATCTAAATTCAAAGTAAAGCGAGCTACTTTGATGAGACAGGTAAATGGATTACATTTCCAGCGCGGACTACTAAATATCCTGTTTTAAAAACCTTAGCACCATATTTACGTAGATTTCTCATTTTTCGCTTCGCGTGTATTTAAGGTGATATGAAAGGGTCATTCTATATACATAAAACGTGAAAATGTTTATAAAACTTTTTTTCAAACTGGGTGCACCAAATCATTTGAAACTTCAGCACGTGATTAGGAAGGCTGTAAGGAAGAACGTAATGCTCGTAAAACTCCATTTTTCAAAAAACAAGTTTTTTATTTAGCCTACCCTAGTAGCATAGAATAATTTCTAAATATTTCTTTGTAATCTTTACTAAATATCTTAAGCGACAGATTTTTTATGATTTCTTGTAGATTTCATTCGAAGATATCTTAAATATTTGTTGAAAAACTCAATGACATATTTAGTTTTAATAATTTATGAACGTGTATAGAAATTATATTTTTTTAGTTCATGAACATATAATAAAAATACATTTTTAATTTCACGATTATTATCGGACACTTCATTTGGTATCAAAAAACACGAGAAATGTTTGTAACATTTTCGTACCGCTATTTCATTGTGGCAGCAAACCATGTGATTTTGATTTTAAGTATTTTTAAATCGTTTATATCGTATTAGACAGATAATATTTAAAAAAATTATTATATCAAAATGAAACGAAACGTTTTATATATCCATAAGAAAAATATGACGAAATCACCTGGATCTAATATTATATAAATATTATAAATGTTTCGCAAATATTTCAAATGTCTGTTAAATATTTACACAATGTACGATATTCGTTAAATATATAGAAAATATCAGACAAATATTTTGTGCTACTAGGGTTGACTAGAAGCAGAATTACATTTTTTTGTGAATGATGAAGTTTCACGAAGATCGCGTTCTTCCTTGGAGCCTCCATAATCATGTGCTAAAGTTTCAAATTATCTGATACACAGATTCCAAAAATCTTACAAACAAAACCAATGATCCGATTTATAATAAAAAGTAGCTTTATAAACTTAATAATTTCCAAAAGTCTCGACTGCGAAGTTTATTTTATACGAGTGGACGAATAAAAACCTAAATGTGTGTGTACTGAACGACAATGATGAAACGATGTTGCTCATAGCGAGGATAAGTAGATTAAGAACACAGGTATTAGTTCTATATTTGTCAGTATAAATTGCGCTATTTTTGGTCTCACAAACTCAGCTTACTATTTTACTGCGACGCGTCATAACCTCTAGGGTATTGTATCGATAGAAATATGTATCGCGCACGGTCTCACCCCGCAAAGCACAAGGAGCCTTATCAGGAGACTTTCGTAGATTCTTTATATGTACAAGATGCTCATGCACGTTATTTAGGCGTATTGCACGTACGCACAAATTTGCGAACCTTTCTGTCCATTTGGATAGTCTATTATCAGCCTTGATCGCGCGGGTCGACGAGAAATTAGCGAAATGATACATTAGGTATCGTGACCGTACGTGAGCTATAATCTCGTTAATCATAAACTTCATATGTATATATATATTTTTCTTGTATTTATATCGTTAATAATATTATTCACTGCGATATTATTAACCTAGTCGCGGGTATTATGCCATCGGTAATATTACAACGTATTAATGATCCTATGAACTTACAGTCGTATCAATAATAGGTAATCGTAATAATAACGTTATCTCTTTTATCTCTCGTCCGTCCGCAGAAATAATTAATTCGTTCTCGCTTGCATCTGCATACACACGTATAGGTATATTATACTAGAATATTTTCTCGTTAATCAATCATCTCTTTCGCTCGCACACGCACACACCGACTCGCCCGCCCGCACGCGTGCGCCATTTAATAGCGAATTCTTCCGACGAGGAGAAAAAGCTCGACCACTCGCGACGTCCGAGACGCGTGGTCGTTGGCAACGCTTAAGATTGCGGCTTACTATTATTGCGTCAATAAATAAAGGCGATTATTACACTTTGACAGCTACGAATTGCCTCTTCGCCATGTTTGCACCGAGTGCGGCATTTTAAATAAGTGGGGATAAAGGTAACAACGTACAAGGGAAATGAATGACTACAACGTAATTCGGCCGGAGAAGCACTCGGACGTAAGCGTGAAAGTAGCGAAACGTCATCGATAACGAAACGCCGGATCGAGCCGAGGTCGATCGTCGAGAACCAAAAGGTTCTGCTCGTTTCGAGATTTCCGAGGTCGAGCCGAAACGGTTCTATTCCTAATCTCGGTCTCGTCCTTCCGTCCCTCGCGAATCCGGTCCATCCGCGTGCAATCGCGTCTCTTATCGTCCCTCGGCAACCAAAGCCTACCAACTTAACGCCAGCATCGAAATTCCGCTTAGCCGCGGGCTAGAAAAATTCCCTCCCCTCGGAATACCGCCCACTAATCGTGACAGCTTACTCATTTTCAAGCCAAAACGTTAACGACACGTAGAGACATGCTTAATACATTCTAAACGGCATTTCCTGTCTGCCTTTAATATTTATACCGAGTCGAGCGGTTAGATCGACGCGCGCTTATCCACATCTACGGTGTCTCAAAGAAGGGACTGAATTACGCCCGACCGACGTCGGCATGCGATTACTCGGGAAGAGGCCACGTATAAAAAGAGTCAAAAATACTTGCAAAGTGCCAAGAGAAAGCTCTGCCGGGTCGCCGCATCCTCGGACCGAGGAGCGAGGATCAAGGCTCGGGACCGAATCCTCGATTCGGCAAAGCGTCCTGCATACTTACGCGTTCGACTACTCGACTCGAACACCCATTTTCGATGAGTCGAGCGCCTTGTCCTATAAAAAGATTCTCCGCGAACGGTTGTGATTATCCGAGCCACCTTTTTCGAACTTTTTTTACTCTCCAGAAATCCCGCTTTCGCTTCTACGAGCATGCCCGGCGCGTTTACCTTTGTGATTTTCCACAATGTGGACTGTTTTTCGGGTGTCCCACGTAGTCCCTTCTTATCGTTCGATTTCGCCATTGGTACCTGCATAAAGAAACATTTGGCCCGTCAATGATTCCCTTGACTGCACGATCAGCAACGATGACCTCTTGCGTTGATAACGGTCGGACAACGATAGGGCCGTACGGGATTTTGGGAATGACGGTCTTCTTCCTTCGCGCCGCTCGCATAAGCAACGTTACTGCACGATGCAGCAGCAAGGATTATTCGATAGGCTGGTGGGAGCAATGCGTTGTTGCTGGTGGTATTGCTGTCGTTGGCGGTTGGTTACCTTGGCGCACCTGGGCTATTGGTTCTCCAGGGAGTAGTGGCGCGATCTTTTCCAGAAGCTCTTGAAGAAGCCCTTCTTCTTGGGGGCGTCGTTGCTCTCAACACCTGAAGCAGAAACGGAAGGACTATTTCGTCAAGCCGACACGTAATGTCACTTTCATAGATTTCGCAATGGAATGGCGCCCCTTAAGGTGACACGAAAGGGTCATTCTATATATCAAAACGTCAAAATATTAATAAAACTTTTCTTCAAATTGGGTCCTTTCTCCACCGAATTTGAAACTTCATCGCGTGATTATGAAGGCCCTTCGGTGAAAGCTTTTTGGATTCGGTGTTCGAGGCGCAATGGCATCGTACATTAATTACCGTATTAAGTTCTCTGATTAATAAAAGAGTCGAGTCTCAATAATTCCCGGCACAGCATGAACTGTCATCATCCTTCTCCGATGCATGCCCGTCGGCGTATTATTTCAGCCACGTTTTCACACTGGCGACGCGTTCAACTTTGGGACCTTCTGCCGGAGAGCGTCGTCTTGCATCGTAAGTATCTCGACTTCCGGTTAACTCAGATTCGGCCGGACCTCGAGTGACGAAGTGCCAATGGAATCCCGCGAGAACGACGATACATTTATTTCCCCTTATTTCGGGAGGTCGACATGTGCTGCGAACACCCCCGAAATCCGGCTTTAACTCGCGACATTTGGACGTGCTCGCAAACTGGTTACTCGGAAATAGAAGTACCGATCGTGCATTTCTTATTTCATTTCTTTCTCGCCCAGCTTGCAACATCCGACGTCCTGTTTTCTCCCACTTCGCGGGAGAATACAGGACGATGACGGAAACACGATCGCACGCAAGATCGAAAAGCGATACCCCCTTATTTTTAAGAACGTTCTAAATTTACCTCCCGGATTAATGCTTATGCTCCAGAAGTGTTACAAGGACTCAAAAGTCGTAAAATTCTTCGTTGGACCGCGAAAGAGGGCGCAAATAAAACGACGGGCTCACGGTAAGAGTGTATATCTTGTTCGTAGTCGTTGCGGTAAATCTCTGTTTAAGGACCAGTTGCTAAGGGGGTATGAAAATAATATTTCAACTTTTTAATACATATTTAGGGATTCGCATACTGTAAAATTGTATCGATCGCTTACTGGGACTATCTTTCATTTCATTATTAAGGTCGAAATGGGACGCGAGGTCTCGTGTTATTTCAAGCATGGTTTTTTAATGAGCATCATGTAAACCGTGTTCTTCGAGGATGTACGAACACATATATTTTTCTGCGAATTAAAGTAACCGGGCGTGGGACGCAATTAGGAGGCGATATGTCATCCCGGTGGTGTATCAACGAATATAAATACCCTCATTAGTGCAAGCGTTATAATCAACACTCTAATGGTAAAATATTATTTACCTACCAACATTGTATTGAAATAAAAAATAAGATTATTTTCTGTTGTTTGATGGATAACAATTTGTTTATCTTAAACATTTTCGGTTGACGAGTGGGACGCGAGCTCAATTTTGCGGCGCGTTTGCCAGAATATGTTAATTTATTGACAAAGGAAATGAAAACAGGTGAAATCGGTGCAAGCGGATCTTACTCCAAACTTGGTGCAATTTGACTGGTTCTTTTGTCAATGAGGAGGCGAACATTCTTAACAAGAGCCAGGTGTTCGTTTGTCCAATCACCACAACTTTCTCGTGGCAGGAATATTACGGCGTCCGTAAGATTTATCGGAAGCTCTGTTACTTTCGAACACGGGTAAAAGATTGCAGCAGACTATAAACCGGTTACGCGAATTTGCAACAATGCGTCAATCTGGAGTCTCCAAAGAATGTCCACCATGACATTGCGGTAATCTGTTTGAAACAGCTTTACATCCACTAACCGTTATAATTTGTTTAAAAATTCCATCGTGAACGTCTCGCTTAAAGATTGTTAAGGGACCAACGGTTTCATCATTTGTTTAAGGTGAAGTGAAAAACAAATTCTGGTAATTTAGATACCAGCTGAAACAACGCGCCATGTTCCCGACGATTATATTTAGATTGATAGATGCGTCGTACTGCAATGAGAATTGTACGAAATGTCACACTTGCTCCATGTGTCGTTTCAGTAGAATGATTATAAAGAGATCGAAGTAAAACTGAAGAAATCATGGATTCGTGATTTTTGAAACTCTAATCGACTGCAGAGCCATCCGCTGTATTTAGTGCCAATTTAATTTATCACCGACAGATACGTACTACACGTGTTATCTTCATTTTATTGTTAGCACAGAACATCCCAAGAAACTTTTATTGCCTTTATTCGATTCAAATGCGTGTTTGTATTTATCTCGGATAAAAACGAAAAATGTAATTTCACGAACACCGCGTTGTTTCTCAGGGCCTCCATAATCGCGTGTTAAGGTTTCAGATAATTCGATGCATCCAGTTTGGAGAAAGGCTTTATAAATATTTTCACGTTTTGATATATATATAGCATAACCCTTTCATATCACCTTAAACAAGGGGCCCGTCCATTTCTTTCAACCTAATTATTTAGCAGTTTATGGAATGTTTATCATAGAATAGTTTTCTCCCCACTGTAACCTCGGTTCTTAATTCGGCTAATTGGCCCACCTCGGTATTTAGGATTTCGAAAATTCTTTCACAAGTGGAAATATTGGAAATTTGTTCGCAAATCGGTCAATGATTGGCAATCCGATTGCAGGACTCTACACCTGGGCGTCAATATTTCATGCCATTTCGGAGGAATTTGGTAATGGGAGTGCACATTTCGGTGCACAATACAGGGACTCGAGTGTAAGCGAGTGGCGACCAATGAATGGCTGAGACAAGGACGAAAGATAGCAGCGGCTCTGCAGAGCGGTGCGTGTGGATCAATACCAATAGTATACCTATAGCACGTAGACGCAGTCTCGGGTGTGTCCGATCTCGCGCGCAGCATCCGCGCCAACAATTTCATTTCCCTTTTCATTTTCACTGTCACTCTTATCAGCGGCGAGGACGGCCGTCTCTTTCTGCGACTGCACCGTCCAAATAACGTCCCGCTTGAGTAAACTCTCGGCCAGAGTTTTACGTCCTCGCGGATCGATTTTCTGACTCGCTCTCACAGAAATGCGTATAGTCCAGCGATATCTATATCGCGTGACTACAAGGTCCTCCCTTTGTTAGCAAATGCTCGACGAAGGATGCACTTTCGGATCCAAACGATTCAAAGGGAGATTAAGGCCGACTTGTAGAAAGGGGAAATACATTTTGGCTTTTCACATCGCATGCAAAACGTTTCTGATTATGGAAGCGTTTCATTCTAAGTTCCGATCTCTTTTTTCAAACTTTATCTGTAGACCTTGTTCATTACTCTTAAGGTGAAGTGAAACACGTCGAGGAACTTGATCGACGTCGGTAGAAAAGGTTTTTGGAAATACCTATGTTGCCGACGTTCGTTTTTATATTGACAGCTGTATCGAATTGTATTGAGCATTTTACTAAATGGCATACTCCATGTGTCATTTTCGTACGATAATGATAAAGAAATCGAAGTAAAACTCCAGAAATCCCCTCAATTCATGGTTTCTGTGGCCCTAATTGATTGCAGAGGGACCCTCTGCGCCATCTGTGATTTCCGTCTCAATTAAATTTTCACGCCGAGACCTCATCTTACCGTCGTTTTAGCATAGTAGCGCATAAGACACTTTTTTTGTCTTTATCTCGTTCAAACACGACTTTCTCGATTACCAGAGTGATCCAAGTTGTTGTACAATTGTCCTGGCACTTTCGTTTTCAATATTAGAGCCTTAAATAATTGGATATCGATCGAAATACAAGAGCTTGACGCCATTTTGGTTCTGGCCTGGGCTGTTAAAAAATGTTTTCAAAAAATTCAAATTTGTATAGTGTCAGGATAATTCCTAGGTGCTCATTACTCAGACGGCTCTATCCAATACCCTTGAGAAAAAGTGTGTTATTCGAATCAACTGATTTGAGAGGGGTTTCACTTCACCTTAAGTTTAAACTTAAAAAAAGTGTGTTGTGTAGAAATGGAACGGAGCCACGACTCTAAAGTTTGATTGCCGGCTTGGTGGCTATGAATTCTGGACTTTTTTACAAATTGCCGACCATTTGAAGGAGAACAAAGGCTCAGTCTGTCACAGATATTGTCTTAAAAAAATTCTTGGTAGGCAATTGAGGTCAGCCAAGGAAAATCAGAGAGCGGTTAAAACCAGACCTTTTCTCGCGCCACTTTTACCACGAAGCTAACATAAGTAAACGCCCTACAAAATTAATGAGCATTTTTGGGCTGCACGGTTGGTTAATATGAATATCTGAGAACAACTCTTTGTACAATGTATTGGTTAATTTTCCCATTTTATTCGTTGTTGTTAATGTTTCTGAAAGTGGTAACCTTTTCATTGGGTTACAATCTTATTTATTGAGTAGTTCGTTAATTTCCATGAATCACTGATTGCGAATATGATAGTGAAAACTGGTGCAAATGTTATTTTCAAGCTGAAAATGATCGTTAATAATTTTCGCAAATTTTCACATTATTTTAATTAGTAAAGGTTTAAGAGAAAAAGCTTCAGATAAAAATTGTAGTTTATAAAAAAATACATCTTTTATATTCTATACATTTTTTTTTCCAAAACTGTTACTTTTCGAGAAAAAGTAGATATATTCCTGAACTGTAAAAGTATAATTAACCGCGGGAGATATTTAAGTGATAAATGCGAGAAACCGAGGTGGGGGGGAGTGTCAGGTTAGGTTATATTATACATTTTTGGGGGTCTGGGGAGGGGAAGCTACGCATAAAATGATCAAGGAGTTTAGTTAGATGAATTAATTTTATATTTCAGAAATGTATCTCATTTTTCTAAAAATAACGATTTTAGAACAAAATATATACAGCATAAAAGATGTATTTTTTCTAATGCTACACATTCCATCCGAAACTTTTTTTCTCTTGAAACTATATTAATCGAATTAATGTGAAAATTTGAAGAAGTTATTAACAATGATTTTCACCTTGAAGATAACATTTGCACCCATATTCACTATCATATTCATAATCGGCTGGTTAAAATAGATCGGGGTATACGAAGTTTTAAATTAATCTAAGGTATACGCTTTTCGAAACCGTATCCCGAAATTGTTCTGTTTCGTGTTTAAAAATCCCAGGAACAAAACGTATAAAAAAGTATGTAAATCTGAGCAACGATTACATTAATACATTTTAATTGCACGGGATTAATTGTTTGCGGTACATTTTCTCTTAATTCACAATTACTAGTGTAAAAGGAATCGTCTGGTGTGAGGTTTTTAATGACACATCGTCGACGTTATCGTTACTTTAACTATACTTTCTTGCGGGATAAGTAACACGCGACAATGTCAGCTCTCACAGCCGTTTGACTCCAACTATATGCCGTTCACTCAGTAAGAAGTCCTCCCGAAAATAACCAAGTAATATTAATAGGCACGGCATCTACGGCAGAGACGAAGCCTCCGCATAGCGAGCGAACTCGGCGAACAGATATTTTGGAACTCGGTGACTGTACCCTTCAACTATGCTGCGTTTCGCTCCAAATTCGGTGCTGCATGAACGCAGGAGGGAAAGGCACCAGATGGAATGAAAACTAAATTGCCCACCGATAAGATTATTATGAAAAAGTTCTGTATATCCTGGCTATTAGAGATACACGTTACAAACTGAATTCTTGTAGACCAAAGTTTTATCCGGACTTTCTAAGAACGAAATCTCAAGCATGGTTGGGTCGAAAAATGGTAATAATAATTCAGGACGCGGTGGGTGTTGGCGAACGATATTTTTGTATGCAAGGTGTCGACAGAGGTACTAAATATAACTTAACCCATCGTTTCTTCTTGGACAATCCCATGGGAGACTATAAAAACTATGTGTTGCGATGCGCTTAGAGGAAGCTCCCAGAGAGCGCGAGAAAAGTTTATTTTCGGTCAGGGATTGGGACACACCATTTCAACCATTCCTTCCTGCCGTTCAAATAAAGTGTAGTTTAAGTTATACATCGTTCTTCTTTTAAGAATTAAATTAATCAATCATTTGATTCAGGACAATTACTTACTTCGGAGAGAGGATTATCGCGTTGCTTTGAAGAAATGAAGAAATGTTAAGTTATCACCCTCAAAATTGAATTATTCAGTTTGCCTTGTGTTTAAAAGCTATATTTGGTGAATGTAAGTTGAATGTAATGCGACGCAAGTTTATTAAGATATTCTTGCAAATAATCAATTCTATGTATTCCCCGGTTGAAACAGTGGACTTACATGTTTTATTAGTTTTTGTGCATTTTAATTGTAGACGCTTTTAATCGATTCTACATTATAACAGCGGAAGTTAATCTTAAACAACATTCCAATGCAAGAGTGCGATTATGCCATCGATTCACAATGAAATGCGGCGTCTTATATGTTGCATATGTAAACAACTAATAACATTATGAACATTCTATTTGAATTTCCTTTTGGACAATGAATTGTAAAAACGTGCAGGGTAAAGTGGGGAAGTAATCGCATAAAAGAAGTCAACTTACTGGGATATGGACCGGAAGGAGAGACGTTATCCTTGCCGCTCTTTCCATCCTTACTTCCGCTTCCTGCAACAATAAGATAAAAGCATTTGATCAGTTTTGGTTGAAGTTTGTCACAGATAACATAGCGATAGGACTAATTCTAAAGCAACAAGCAATTCCCAAAACTCGTAAGACATCTCGAGGTTGAAGTTAAACACGAAGAAATTGGAGAGAATAAAATGACTTACTGCGAGTCAGGAAAAAATTTTCTCTCTAAAAAAGTACAAAAGACTTGACATGTATATATATTATGAGACAAGAAATAAGAAATCCATTTATCTACAGGAGACTTGAACAGTCCACGGTACAGAATTTAAATTAGCCATTGTTAACTGAATGCATACAAATTCTTTTCAATAAAACCGATATATTCGTAAGACATAGGATATCTGAACACACTTTCGTAGAAATCCACATAATTGAAATATATTTGCATACAGGATGAATTTGAAAGGAACTAACAAAAATCAGGAAACATTCATGAATATTAAGTTACATGCATTTGACTGGCTATATTTACGGAATATTTATTATTATTTTACGCCAGATAATGCATAATATGGTATGTAAGATTGGATACCCATGTGCACATTGAATATTAGAAAGTAATATAATTAAGGATGTTAGGGTAAAGAAAAATAATTCATGGAAAGTTCCAATTTTCCAACGAGTACATATTTCACATGTAACATCGAAGATACGAAGATAAAGTAAATTGAAATTAGATAAAAATAAATCTTTAGACGGTAGACTAAATAGCATACTCCGCCTGTCGTTTTCGAATGATAATGATAAAGAAACCGAAGTAAAACTCTCGAAATTCCCTGAAATCATGATTTCTGAGGCCTTAATAATTGTATCCATCAATGTTGTCCATCAATAATTGTATATCGATCGAAATATGAGAGCTCGACGCCATTTTGATTCTGGTCTGGGCTAAGTTAAAAATTCTTTTTGAAAAATCCAAATTTTGAAAGTGTCAGGATAATTTCAAGGTGCCTACGAGTCATGTGTTAAACTGCCAGATAATTCTATCCAATACTCTTAAAAAAAAGTGTCTTGTTCGAATCGATTGATTTGAGTGGGGGTTTCACTTCACCTTAAGTATTCAACCAGTGCTAAAAGTAAACCTGACATGTATAAAGTTAACGATTTCTCCTTTAATTAGCATTCTTCTTGTCATAATGATCGACCTTCGGATAAAGCGAAGATTCGAGGTGACAGTTGGAGCAAAATGACCACGACGTGTGGGGTCGCCGTCAGGACTCAGTGTCGTCTCTCTTCTAGACCGGACGAGCGAAAAGGTGTCGCATTTCCGGAAGCAGCCGCCACAAAATTGCTTCGACGCGACCGGGTGAAAGAAAATAAAGGGGTCCCGATAAAAGCGGTGATCGAAGATCGTCCAAGAGGAAGTGGAATGGTGCCGAGGTGGGGGATGGAGGGACTCTGAGAATCGAGAGCATCATTGACACACATTTGCAACCAGAATATGCATTTAGTCGATAACTTATCGATATCTTGTCGCTATCCCGCTAACCCATCGAAGTACGAAGATGAAAGCTTCTGGATGAAGCGCTCATTTACCCATTTCCGGCTGATTTTTTGCGTGTCATTCATTTCTTCGTATTCTAAAATGTCAAATGTTCTGCCGAAATAAAGGCTCTTTCCGTGAAAGAGCTTAAGGTGAAGTGAAACACATCGAGAAATTTGATCGACGTTGATAAAAAAGATTCTTTTACATACCTACGTTACCAACGTTGGTATTTATATCGACAGTCGTGCCGAATTATATTGGATATTGCACTAAAAGGCATACTCCATATGTCGTGTCTGTTCAATAAGTATCAAGAAATCGAAGTAAAACTCCAGAAATCTCCTGGATTCATGTTTTTTTTATGCCTGCCATACTTGACTGCAGAGTGCCACCCTGTGCCATCTGTGATTTTAGTGTGAACTAAATTTTCTCTCCGAGATCTCGTGTTACCTTCGTTTTAGCACAGAAGTGCACAAGACATTTTTTTGCCTTTATTTTGTTTAAATGCGAGTTTCGGACAGTTCTATCCAATACCCTTAAAAAAAAAAAAGTGTGTTATTTGAATCGACTGATTTGAGGGGGGTCTCACTTTTACCTTAACGATGAAGTATAAAATACGCGGCAACGCAAGGTACGAAAAGACTCATCGATCCCTACAGGAGCAATTCGAACTCGAGATGAAAAGAAATAGGGAAGCCGGGAAAGCGAGAAAGACGGACACCTACCCGAGCAGTGACCCCGGCCGAAGGCACTTAACGTCGGAGACCGTCGAGACTAGCGGGTCGACGCGAAGGCAAGAGAGCTCCATGATAATCGGAGGTAAAACGAAGACAGGGTCGTCGGTCACCTGCGCGCGGAGACCGGTCTACCCATTTCCCTACATAACCTCTTAAGGAGGCGCGATCCGAGGCCGAGACCCGCGTCCGCCGTTGCGCACTCTAACTCGACTCGAGCGCACTTCTAAATGGCGAACACATCAGACGAACTATTTTCGAATAGCATTGATCTATATACTAACTGGACAGCTGATACCTAAGATTAGATAATTTCGCGATTTTCGAAGTTTTTGACGTATATTAAGTAAATTATGTAATTTACCGTAGAAAATCATTGAAAACCAGTAAATTACGTTTCCAATATGAAAGATGCCGCAGATGTGCGATATACGGCATCCGCTTGGTTATGAACGTTGTTTAATATATATTTGAAAGAACGTAAATATTTTTATGGAATAATAAATTAATTTGGCACTTCCGTTCAGAATTGTTTAGAATTTTACGTTTCCAATATGGCGGATGCCGCAGATGCACGATACACGTATCCGCTGGTTTATAAAGGTTTTTTAGCGCACGTGTAAACACGTAACAATTTTGAAGGAATAATTAACTTGGCGCTTGTGTTCAAAATTCTTTTGACTTAACACAGTTTAATATCAAATTTCTAATTGGATATATTATTTTCTATTTAAAAATAGAAGAGAGTAATAAACTTCGCGCTCACGTAGAAAACTAGGAACGTGTTATACGTTGTAATATGCGCGGAGAAAACCACGTATATTACATGACGTATTATACCTATCCAATCCTGCTGATACCTATTTGTTCTATATGGAGAGGACTTTGACGAATTCAAGACACCCCAGCGCTACTACACATGGGCAGTGGTACTAACTAAGTACCGTGTGCACATGTGCACAAGTTTTGAACCGTAGAGCCGTCAATCGCGGCAATACCACTAGAGGGCTTTGGTCGGTTTAAAACGTCCCGCCATTTTGTAGGATATCAGCTATCCAGTTAGTACATAGATCGTTGCCGAATAGGCACTTGCGGCATATCCAAATCGCGTCAGCACGCGCGGCCAAGTTTAAAGGGATGTGAAATCGGCATCCGAAAGCTCAATTGTTCATAAATCTTTTCTACGAACTGGGTGTCCCAAATAGTTTCATACTTTAAAACGTGAATATGGAGACCCTAAGGTAGGTCCTGAAACTCGGAAAACTTCACTTTTTATAAATTATTTTTAAAATACCTATAAACAAATTGGAAAAGAATTGAAATTTCACGAATTTCAGGACCTTCTTTACAGTCTCCCTATTCACGTTGTAAAGTTTCAAAGTATTCATTAAACCGAGTTAGGAGAAAAGTTGTATAAACAAAACCTTTCCGACGCCACTTTCACATCACCTTAACGACACGTAACCGCGGCCGGTTTTTACGGCAGGATAGCTTTATCGGTCAAGAATGAAGCGGCCGATATTTCGGGGACGCCTAATTCGAACGGCCTTCGCAACGTCGAAAGTCTTCCCCGAGCACGAGGTCCTCGACGCTGACGGAAATTGCGTGGGCTCCATGCCGGGAATGAAAAATTCCGTCCCCGGTCTCGGAGACAATGCCACCGTCCGTCAAGGTGCGAAAGTCGTCGCGGTCCGGCTGCATTGTATGCACGGACTGCTGACGCGACAAATTCCTCCCCGGGCCCCGTTAAGGGGTAGGAAGTGCAACGACTTTACATGAAATCGGCGGAGTCCGGGAAGGCTCTCCGGCACAACAGGAAAGAGAGAAAGACCCGGACGACGCGTCTGGAGACTCCGCGGACGCGGGGTCAGCGGGTCGCGCGCGCGACAATGGGACGGTATACCGTTTCCAGCGATCGACGCTATCGCGCGAGGAGGCGATTGGGCGACTGATCACTAGAAACGGCGGTCTTGGCTGGCTGGATCGAGCGCGACAGTCGCCAATTGAAACCATGAATAAAGTACCCCGCCGAAGAAAGTACCCGGGCATCCCACGGGGGTTCTGCGAGTAAGAAATTTACCGAACCGCTGAATTCGCGGCGATGCTCTGCAGCGAAAATAACGGAGCTGGTCAAACTATTTCTTTTTATTATTATTATTATTACTTAACGTCGCATCAGCTGCTCTGGTTATTAGCGACGCACCGGTTAAATAAGATGTGCGCCTTCGATAATTAAATATCGAGCGAAATATAAGAGCTCGACGCCATTTTGGTTCGGGTCTGGGCTTAGTTAAAAAAATGTTTTCAAAAAATTCGAATTTTGAAAGCGTCAGGATAATTCCTAGGTGCTCACGAGTCGTGTGTCAAAGTTTCAGATGGTTCTATCTAATACCCTTGAAAAAAAGTCTTATTAGAATCGACTGATTTGAGGGGGATTTCACTTCACCTTGAACGTCCAACGTCCGAATTCGACGCGGGCGTGGAGGGCACTTTCCTTCGGAAGATCCCGGCTTGGGAATTAGGGAATCTTCCATGGTCGGTGGAAAATGAGCGCGCTCGATGGCACAAGGTTGCCGCTCGGCTCGGAGAGTGAGAGTGATCGAGGGCAATGCCGCGGGTACCCCGCCGTCGGCTGCTGGGGGTGGTTGCTCGCCCTCTGAATAAATCAATAAGTCCCAGCCCGAGCGGCACACACCCGGGTCCCGAGAGCGGTTGCCTCTTGGCCGGTTCAAGGCGGACCAGGGCCGTACCTACGC